ACAGATCTGATACACTTTCTTTGTTGATGATTTCCTGGGGACTTCATGTGTGCTGAGCGGGGCAGGTTTGGCTGTCTGCACAGGACTGGATGACACTCCGGTCGGTGTCTGTACTCTCCAGCGGGCATTTTAGCCTGTGGTAATTTATTTGATAGTTCTCGTCCATATGGACATTATTTTACTTGTTGCCAGGCAAGTTAAGACAGTTTTGTGCTTTTTTACAGTCATGAGAAAGCCAGCAAAAGCCAAACCTTCCCTGCCTCTGCTGGTGTTCCTCAGAGGCCACCGCCCTTATCCTTTCGTACCCTCGAGCTCTGTCCCGGGTGGCTATTTTCCTAATTGATTCTGTTTTTTTTTCTTCTTGCACTGTAAGCTCTTTAAAGACCAGGAACTTCGTGTTCACTACTGAGCATCAAAAACAGAACTTGTTTCCTAGGAAACAAATAATTACTGCGTGACTAATTGAATGGGCAGAGAGTTGTGGAAGGTGAGGTGAAGTGGCTTTTCTTGGGCTGCTTTTTATCCCGTCCCATACGCTCCAGGGTTCTGGGATGGAGAGCCCAGGAAACTTGCTTTCTGCAGAAGGGCATGGAAGAAGCCATTTCAGTCAAGATGTTGTAGTTTGCAAAATAAGAAGTAGCTGTGAGGGAGGACAGCCTAAGAAGACAGGCAGAGGAGCAAAGGCCAGTCACTCCGCTGTGCCACGCCTGTGTCTCCTGTGTCCCTTTCATGTGTGCATCCCACAGCAGTGACCATTTGGACAGTTCTGTGATAATTGGGACAATCTCATGCATCAGGCCAAGTTCAGCGCCTGGCCTAAGGTTGGCACTCAATGTTGAATTGTGAATCCAGAATGCTGGTTTTATAGAGGGTCAGGGGAGAGGGACCCAGCCATGCATCTCCGTTTAGAATGAGGAAGGAGGAATAGGATTCATTTAGGGGGCATCTTAGAGGGCATACAGGCCCACAGACATCTGGCCACAGGAAAGACCTCCTCCTCTGCGGTCCCTTATCTTCACTTGCTCTGGGTATTCCCTCCTAGTACTTTATTTAGGAGGGCTGGAGAGATGACTCCGAGGTTAAGAGCACTGGCTGCTCTTCCAGAGGTCCTGAGTTCAATTCCCAGCAACTACACGGTGGCTCACAACCATCTATAATGAGATCTGGTGCCCTCTTCTGGCCTGAAGGCTTATATGCAGGCAGAACACTATACAAAATAAATAAATAAATAAACCTTGAAAAAAAAATATGCTTAGGTATCTGTCTGCTGACTACACAAGTAACAGATTGCACAGTTTGAAGCTTCACGGCCTGCCTTTTAAGACCTGGACAAGGTTGTCCTCCATTTTCTGGTGACTGTAGGACTCTTCCCACTTAGGAATTCTGTATTTGTCATTCCCTGGGCTGCTGCATCAGTTTGAGGTGCATAAAGATCCACGTATAACAGACAAGTGCTCTCATACCTTATGAAAGGTATGGGCCTTATGAAAATGGGCGCCTCTCCTGGGTTCCCCTGGAGACCCCCCTCACCATAATCCTGTTCTCTTTGTGTTCTTGTTGCCATTTCCCTTTGGACCCCTTAGACTTGGGACGGCTCGTAGCGAGTGGCTCCAGTCCACTCTAATTTTAACTTTTTACGGGCTGTCAGTAGGTTTTCCCATGTTGCTTCACTTATGGGAAGCGTTTAGTCATTTCCTAACCTAATGAGATTTAAGCATCCTCAGCCCCAGAAATTTGTTGGGAAACATTTCCTATTAAGATGAAGTGGGACGAGGGGAGTCCTGAGATTGGCGGGGCAGGAACAGTGCCCTGCCAGGGGTGCAGTCTGGCTGGCTGGACGGGAGGAAGGCCTTCGGCAGAGACCCTTAGGGTGAGGAAGAACGGCATGCTGGGGTTTGGGGGTACGTGGAGGCTTCCCAGAGATCAGGATGGTGCTCTTCCTTGCTGGTCTTCACAGGTCAAGTTTCTGTTATTCTGTTTCTAGTTAATTCCCATAAGTGCCCGTGTGTCGGGGTTATGGTTGCAAGTGAGCTCGCCTTACATATGCTTTTGAATTCTGAGGAAGGTTGCTAATGTCTGTTTTCCAAAACCCACAAGTTTTTAGGGCCTGAGTGGTCATTGACAAATGTGTGCCAGGTGTTTCTGAAGAGGGCCCTTGCTTTGACCAGGTACTAGCAGCAAGTTCTCCCCCACCCCAACAAAACAAAACAAAAAAAGTGACTGTTAGTGTCCTTCGCACTGTGAGATGTTGAGTGGCATCCCTGACCCTTTGTCATTAAATGCTGGCAGCATCCCTTTCCCTAGTGACAGACAAAAGCACTCTCATGTGTGTCTCAGCATCTCCTGGAACAGGTGAGGTAGGTGTGCAAACATGGCAGACTCTTCAGAAATTACCTCTGAGTGAGAAAGAGTAGCTGTAATCGGATCATTCAGAGTTTCCATTCTTTCTTTAAAATTACCGTGTTTAAATGTGTGCATGTATGTGTATGCATGTACATGCTCAGAGGCTGGGGTGTTAGATACTTTGGAACTGGAGTCACAGGCATTTGTGAGCATTCTGATGTGGGTGCTGGGAACGGAACTCAGGTCCTTTGCAAGAGCAGTATGAGCTCATAGCCACCGAGCCGTCTCTCCAGGACTTATATGGAAGTAAGGTCTCACATGTCCCAGGCTGGTCGTGAGTTCACTACATAGTTGAAAATGACTTGGAATTTCTGAGCCTCCCAAGTGCTAGAATTGCATGCATGTACTACCATGCTCTGTTTATGCTGGGGATGGGAACCCAGGGCCATGCACATGCTAGGCAAGCACTGTACCAGATGAGTACATCTTCTGTTCCAGGGGTTTCTTTTCTGTGTGGATAAAATGAAATTGACTGTGTTATCTAGTTGGTGTCAGCAGTAAGATAGGAGGGGTATTATAAAATAGTGCTATCGTGTGTGTGTGTGTGTGTGTGTGTGTGTGTGTGTGTGTGTGCCCCCAGAAGCCAGAAGTATAGAGGATCCCTCTAGAGTTGGAGTTGTGAGCCACCTGGTATGGGTGCCAGGAATCGAACTTTGGTCTCTGGAAGAGCAATACATGCTCTTAACCTCTAGGCCATCTCCCCAGCTCCTTAAGTCAAGTTTTTACATATATGAGGCCTGAATGATACTTACGTAAGATGCTCTAGGTATTCAACACATACTGCTGCTGTGTGCTGACATCCCATATGCATTATTACCCAAGTCACCGTACTGTGACTGTCTCCATTTCATGTACACGTGGAGGCGAAGAAACCGACCCAAGGTTCTAGGTCGATGCCTCGACTTGGGAAATGGAGTTAGTCAGTTCACTTGTGCGGTACCCTGACATGTTATAGTAGCTTCCTGTGCCTGAAAGCCCAGTCCATGCCACTGTGGCCTTGGTGACATATCTTGCCTTAAAAGTGGACGACACAAGCAAGAACTTCGTGACTGCTGAATGCCTCGTTAAACAGAAGCAGCGGTGGGTTGGGAGTGCTTTCTTTCTTTTCTTAAGTGTGGTCTTTAAGAGTAAATGATCCGTATATAACCACCTTGAGCAAGGGACAAACTTTTTAACAATCTACCATGTATGTATATGTGAAAATATAATTAGTTCCAGTTAGCAGTGTGCCATGTATGATGGAAACAAAGTGCCTCACGCTTGCTGTGGTTAGTAGAGTCTAGATGGCAATAATCCTCGAAGGTTGTGCCTCATTATAGCCAAATGTGATGTTCTAAGGATTCCTGCGTGTGTTTTCCGAGACTCTTTGATTCGCTTGTTTAGGGCCTTCAGAAGTCCTGAGATGAGCTGGACCAGAACAGGTATTAGATAGGAGTGAAAACCTCTTCTTGGTGCTGGGGACTCCCATGGCTGCCTACCCTGAGGGTGTCCTACCCCTACCACTCTCCCCTCCACCCCTCATCCTGGCCCTCAACGTTCTCTCGGCACACCTTCCTCGCTTAGTTCCAAGGTGCTGGAACTTCGTTCTCTGTGCTGGAGCCCGCTGTGCACCGAGTTTCCTTTGCTCTTTACTGGCCCTGCCCCACTCTGCCTTCTCCTTCCCCCGCCTCCTGTCCCTTGTTATGTGTGCAGTGAGTGGTGACAGTGACCCTCAGTAAGCATCGGCACCACACTGTTGTGACTTGGGAAAGGCACTCTGCCCTCCTGTACCCGAGGCAGCAGGTGCCACAGTTTATTGGTTAGAGTGAGCCCGTTTTAAAATGTATTTATTTGTTTTGTGTTTGTACATGCATGCCTGCGCTAAGGTGCACTTGGGAAGGTTAGGACAACTCGTGAGCAGTTAGCACTTCTCTTCCGCTGTGACCACCCCAGGGATTGAACTCAGGTTGCCAGGCTTGGTGACAGGTGCTTTCCCTCAGCCCTCCTGCCACAGCTCTTGACTGTTAGGTGCTTCATGGCTTAGGACAGTTTGCAAACAGGTCCAGGAAACTTTGTCGGTATCGAATGAATGAATGAATGAGTGAGTGAGTAAATGAGTGAATGAATGAGTGAATAAGTGAGTGAATGAATGAATGATGAACAATGGACTTGTAATCTCATTACGCACTGTGGCCCTGGCTCTTCACTTCTTTCTGGTGTGGTGTTTGTCAGGGTCCCTGACCTGGCGGCATCATGTGATGGTGTTCATTTTTGGCTTAGAGCAGAGGCTACCCTAACTTTCTCCAAGTGCCTATGGGAGTTAGCACCTGTAGCTTCGAGTTCTGCTGCCTAGAGTGCTGAGAAAGCCCTTGATGGGCCTCCACTTTGCTGTCTCCCTTCCAGATCACACAGCAGGCTGCTCTGGAAAGGGGCAGGGCTGTCTGCACAGTGTCCCTCTGGGCTGTGGACTCCTAACAGGCCTGGCAGAGGGTCCATTGCAGGCTCCTTGGGTCTCAGAGTGTCCTGAGGGAGCAGCATCAGAAGGAATGAATGCCTTTTTGAAGGAGCTGTTTGCACTGATGAGAGTGACTGAGATGCTTTTCTTTGTTTCTCCACAGAGCGATCAACAGCTGGACTGTGCCTTGGACCTAATGAGGCGCCTGCCTCCACAGCAGATCGAGAAAAACCTCAGTGACCTGATCGACCTGGTGCGTACCTTCTTCATATGGTTTCACTCGGGGCCAAGGCGCGCAGTTGCTTTCTTCTGTGCTGCTCTTTGTGTGGAATTCAAAACACAGGAAGCCTCTTCTCTCCCAAGCCAGACCCCACCACTGGGCTCTGAGATTCCTCCCGACAGAGAGAAGATGAGTTTCATATGGTGATCTTTCTCTGAGTCTCTGAGCCCATCTGTATTGATTATGGCCCCTCCCCCCAGTTACCTTGTTTACCCTTTCTAGAAGCTTGCATGTAGGCCACAGCTCTGCAGGCATCCGCCAAGCTAGTTCCCCAAGCACCCATGTTGGGTGAGCTTCCTCAGCCAGCCCCGTACCAGCAAGTGTCCTTTCTAGCTTGAAAGGTTAACAACAAAAAGTTTTAACACATCTGTTTTTAAAGTATTCAGCTCATTTTTAGTTTTTTTTAAACATATAAAATAATTGGTTTTAAAACGATGCCTTGGATGAGCTGGCACTGAAATAGTACTTGAAAATACTAACATATTCACCATTGTAAAGCCACAGGAGTAATTGAAATCAGCTCCCAGGAGGCCTTCCAGCTTACACAGATGATTTAATGGGGATCTGGAACCAAGTCTGCTTTTCCCATTGTGTCCCATGTCTTCCTGGCTGTGGAGCAGTGAGGCATCATTTAGAGTGGGGGTTTCCGACTGTTCATCTGCTCTGGTGATTTAGTTTTATTCCATTGTCAGGAGTCAGAATGCTTTCACCAGGAAAACAATGCGATAGTAGGAGATTGCCATCAATCCCAGGGAAAACTCTCCTAGCCGCCTGGAAAGTCCCCAGTGTGGCCATCGCTGTTTATAGGGCCAGCAGCTCCAGCTGCGAGCAGGTGTGTGAGACAAGCATGGAGCGGTGGAAGGAGTTGTGAGCAGGAACTGCAAAATATTCGGGACGTGAGAAGGGGTGGTTTCAGGAGGTTAGAGGCCCTGTGGGAAAGCCAGCCACAGGTGGGTGTGAAAGAGAGTCTTGGCGAGTACACACAGGCAAGCACGTACATATGAACACGCATACACGTACATGCACATCTGTGCACATGCTCATGTACACGTAAGTACACACACGTACACACTCATGCATGCACACGCACGTACACACGCATGCATGCTTGGAGTACATTGGGGTGGCACAGACATGCAGAAGTCAGACTTGATGCTGTGACTGTCCCACCACTCTGAGCATTGCACTCAGGATGTCTGCTGCCTCTTATGTGGGGCCTTATTTAGTCCCCAGCAGTCCCATGAGGCACCTCCGGCCGGGTGCAATCTGGGAAGTCTTGGCTTTTTCTTCAGCCGTCTGTGGCTGACCCTGTGTGGACCAGGCAGGCCAAAGTTGGAGGTGTGATCAGGTCCCCATGAAAGTGCGCTTAGCTGAGCTTCAACTCAGTTGGCCGACTTAGTTATTACTGTAGTTTTGAAATAACCCTAGCTTGGAAGCCCAGGAGGATGAACACATTTCTCTGCCGACTCTTGGTGTTTAACGGGCTGTTTTGTTCTTATGGCAGCTGAGGCATTGGATTAGTGCTGTTGTTTTCCCCTGGGACCCCCTCACCACTCATCTCTGAGATGTGTGTGTAGCTTGATTGCTTTGCTGTAGATGCCAGTTTCCCTTGGGTCCAGGAGGGACTCACAGCATGACAGGGAGGGAAGGAGAGGCTGCCAGCTGCCTTCTACCAAATGCCGGGGCAGGGTGTTCTGCCTCAGGTTGTCTGTGCAGGCTGCATGGACACAGGGTGGAGTGCCACAGACTGCATCTGTCCTGGTACCCAACTGCACTTCCCTTTCCCACTCTGACTTGTACAAGAACTGTCTGAGACGGGTAGAGGTAGAGACCAGGGTCGGGGGTAGTTGCTAACAATTGTTGACTATGCCCAACAGTTAGGGTTTGATCTTAAAGGGTTACACACATGGAAAGCTTTATCCCCTCCTCATGGCACTGTTGGGAGGCAGGGGAACCTTCAGGAGATGGGACCTCGTGGAAGGAAGTTAACCTTCAGGGGCAAGACAGTGAAGGAGGTGCTGAGACCCCGGCCCCTCCTCCCTTGTTTGTGGTCAGCATAAGGTAAGCAACCTCACTGCACTCTCCGAGTTCTGGTGTTTGGCCTCCCCTCAGGCCCAAGAGTCCCAGAGCCCACCAGCCATGGACAGAGAATTCTAAAGCCACAAGCCAGAAGAAACATGACCTCCCTTTAAGTTGTGGCGGGAATTTGGTCACAGTAATGGAAACCTTGCATACCACTGTGTGCCTGTGTCTGAGCTCAAAATTTCCGCTGTTTCTCGATTTTTTTTTTAAAATAATAACCTTTTGAGGATCCACATGCCCAACCCACACTTTTGAGAAACTGAGGCTGTAGGGAGGTGGTGTGGCCAAGTGGCATCAGGAATGCTGGTCTCTTCTGCTCTGCACTGGCTCTTGGGTCACCTTTGAGTAGGATCACCCCAGCAAGAGGTTGAACATGGCATGTCTTCGTGTGTTGGTTTTACCCGTGGTAGAGAGCATGTTAAATAACTTGTTTCACTATTCATGTTAGGATATAGGAATGTTCATTTTTCTTGTTATTGCTGAGACAAGGTCTGACTATCTATCCCAGGTTAGCCATGGATTTGACTCCCTTCTGCCTCTGCTCCCCGACTGCTGAGGTCAGAGGCCTAAGCTACCATGCTTAGGTGTATTTTAAGTTGTCCCACTTTAGGAATATTATATGGGGCATGAAGGAATTCTCCTCTTAGAGCCAGGCCTTTCAGGGTGGCTTGTGTGAAGCCAGCCTTGGGGTCACCTACCTCCAGTCTGGACAGCAGACCCCTGTTAAAGATTGGGTTGGCGACTTGGGGTGCTTATTAATTTTTTAATTGAAGCATGATGGATGTCAAGATAGAAATGAGGCGTGACTTCTCGACAGATTAGGGTCTAGTGAAGCATGGCTCATTAAAGCCACACCAACTTGCCGCAGAAGCAGTATGTGAGTGATGGTCTGGCTTCAGAGTCCCCCATGTGTGCAGTACACGTGTATGGAGGAGCACTTGGGCTGCCTTTCTGTTGGAACTTTGATCGACTGCAGAAGTCACTTTAAATACGTCCCTTTTCTCATTGCGGTTTTCTCCTGATGTGCTTAGAGATGGCGCTTTTTTCCTTTTAAACTAAGTTTGCAGAGTCCACTCACTCTGTAGGAGTTGCCCTGTGTCCTGTTGGGTCCTGAAGTCACGTGCTGCTTGAGCTTCTTCCCAAAACTGTTCTCTCAGAAAACTCATGCTGCCTGTGACCGCATTTCCATTGTCTGGAGTTGGGGGGGCTTTAGAGAGGCTCACACAGGGATCACAGCATTCTGCTCAACCCAGCCAGGAGAAGATCTGTTCTTGAGGGCCATCTCCAGTTTTGAGACGTATGAGGATGTCGGGGTTTGCCTGTGTTCTCCCTCAGTGGCCTCATTTACTTGTCAGAGCCAGCCTGCTGCAGGGGGCTCTGTCCTATCCACGCAAGGTCCAGTTATAGCGCAGCATCAAAATGTGCCGTGTGCTTGGCAGCCAAGTCATGGCAGCCCAGTTTGCCCTGTTGGGTCAGCACTCTTCCTTCTTGCCAGCCCTTTGCTGCCTTGGGATTCAATGCATGCTCTGATTGGTGGGAAGTGACCATCCTTTGCAGATGGCCAAAACATCATTTTGTTACATACTAATTCCATTGTGCTAGAGGAAAACTGGCCACAATTGGTTGCTAAGCTGTTTCAAAAATACCTACACCCATGTGGGCCAGGATCATGTGATGGGAAGGTTCTCCTTTACCTTCTGTGGCCTTACTTTGCACACTGGCAGCTAGAGTGGAAGCCTCTGCTGGGGTGTATTTTGAGCCCTGAACTGAGGAAGGAGTTTGTTTCTGCAGATTGGCACTCACCAGGCCATCCATCCTTTGCCTTTTTAGGAGCACACCAAAAATAGCCAGAGATCTGTTTTACCAGGCCTGGAGGCTCGGCTTGCAAACACCAGTCACCGTGTTTTATTTTGTTTTTAAACCCCTCCCTCCCTCCCTCCCTCCCTCCCTTCTTACACATCCCCACACTTACACAAACCGAGGGAAGACCTCAGAGCTGGGAGAGCTGTTGGCCACCCTGGCCAGTCCTGATATTCACAGTCTGTTGATAACCTGACGAAGTTTGTTCCAGTATGTTCCTCCTTACAGCAAGCAGATTGGCTACTCTCCAGAAACAGAAAGGGCCACCAGGGCAGGGTGGGGGGTGGGGGGGTACCTACACTTGGAACTGCTCCCAGAAATTGTCCAGGTGTTACGAGGTACGCAGGCTCATGATAGGCCAGGTACGATTCTGCCTTTGGGCTGCAGAGAACATCTGTATGGGGTTGGGGGCCTGTAGTAAAGGGGCCCCAAGAACCTTCTACCTGAAAATATCCTGTGTTGCCAAGTCCCCTTTGTCACTAGTGGGCAGAATTAAGCTGAATTCTGTAGTTAAAAGCTCTTCAATGTATTGATCAGCTGATTAGCTGGTAAATGCTAAACATTGCTACTTTTCACTCTGTTTTAAATATTCTGGAAACTACACTTCCAGTATCAGCTGTGAGGAATGATGTGGGACTCATTGTGTCCCTGGGTGATGGGGCTGTGATGTGGGACTCATTGTGTCCCTGGGTGATGGAGCTGTGATGTGGGACTCATTGTGTCCCTGGGTGATGGGGCTGTGATGTGGGACTCATTGTGTCCCTGGGTGATGGGGCTGTGATGTGGGACTCATTGTGTCCCTGGGTGATGGGGCTGTGATGTGGGACTCATTGTGTCCCTGGGTGATGGGGCTGTACTGGGTCCAGGCATGTTGTGCTGCTTTACAGTGTCTCCTGTTTGCCTTTGTCGCCAGCATTTAAGACAGTCTCGGCCAGCAGTTCTCAACCTTCCTGAAGCTCCTCCTGTGTGGTGACCCCAGTCACAACATGAAATCATTTTTGTTGCTACTTCATAACTGTAATTTTGCTACT